ACACACACACACACACACACACACTATACTGGTATATATATATGGTTGGTCAATGGGTATTTGATGTGTGTGTATGTGTATGTGTGTATATGTATATGTACCTCTTTCTCCTAGAAACTGGGAGATTATGTACACACACACACACCACACCACACCACACATCAAACATCCATTGGTCCTGTACAACCAATTTTTCCCAAGATTCCATTTTTCAGAAATTGGTGAGAACTGCCACTTAATTAAAGAATTGTATTTTTTTTTAACTTACTTCTGTTCATTTTGATCCTCCAGTCCAGAAGCCTGAATTCACACAGCGACTGAAGGATGAGAAAGTGGATGAGGGCACCACAGTCAGATTTCGTTGTGAGGTGACAGTCCCTAAAGCTCCAGCAGAATGGCGCAAAGATGGTGCAAAAATCCATGCTGGTCCCAAATATGACATCAGACAAGATGGTGGCGTCCATGATTTGCTCATTCATAACTTGGAACCCCAAGACAGCGGAGAGTATTCGTGCATTGTTGGAGACCAAACCACGTCTGCCACATTATCTGTGCAAGGTATATGCTTTTTTATAAAGTGGTTCTGTCAGGGAATTGCACAGCTGGTGTCCAAATGGAGTCAGAGAGGCTGGCATGAACTTGTTGTTTGATATAAGCAAATACATTTTAGATCAATATAGTCTAATACAGTCTAATATAGCAAAGTAGTTTGTCAGGCAAACAGGAACATAATAAGGTAAATCAACACAGCAGGAACTGTTGTGAACTAAAGAAATGTATTTAATAAAGATTCATTTGCATGGCAGGATCGTAATCCTGCACTTCCTATTGGCCCATATAATGGCAAGTTATGATTGGTTCATTCCGAGCAATCTGACTGGCTGTTGGCGGGCCGCGCCAAGATTCAAACGCTACAACACTATCCATTGGTTATCCGGATAGCAGCTTACTCTATAAAAGAGTGACTGCTAGCCGGGTTTTTTTTGTCTCTGTTATGCTTGTGAATAAAGAGCTGAAGTTCACGGTTTACAGTCTGGTCTCCGTTCATTAAACCCATGCCTCAAACCTAACAGGAACATTCTGTTGCTAAACAATTAATTAACTAATTTGCGCACATTTTTAGAATCATTTTACTGTGAATATTGCAGTTGTTAAATGACTCTATTGATTTTGCTCCCATTGATCCCATTTATTTTGCTTGTCAGAAACTTGTTGGGAAGGTCTCAAATGGTGATCACACGAACCAGGGATACTGCAACCATCGTAAATATATGCCTATTGTCACGCACCCAAATTTTGATCATACTGTGTGATGTAATGGTCATAAGTGCAAGGACCAGACATGAGTCACTTTTTCAATGCTGTTGTAAATTTGTATGGTTGCTAAATGAATGTTTGTAAGTCAAGGACTCCCTGTAATTTTGTTAATACAGAAAGAGAGAGGGGAGGGAGGAGAGAGGGAGAGAAAGAGAGTTGTTAAGTGAGTTGTGCCCAATCTTAAGAAGATTTTTTTTGTCATCTTTGTGATGCAATTCATTGCAGTTGTTAAATGAATCAGGCGGTTGTTAAGTGAATCTGGACACACGATTCGGTTGTTAAGTGAATCCCTGTTGACTTTGCTTTTCAGAAGCTGGCTAGGAAGGTTAAAAATGGGGATTCTGCAGCTGTCATAAATACGTGCCAGTTTCATCAGCAGAAGTTTTAAAGAAGAGACTGGACAGCCATTTGTTTGGAATGGGATAGGATTCCTGCTCGAGCAGGGGATTGGATTAGAAGGGAGGGATTCCACTGGAAGGGACTCCCTTCCCATCGTATTATACCCTATTCTATGACTTATATATGAATCTCATCTATCTCATCTAAGGGCCACATTGCTTTCAGGAATGTCTATGAAATGTATAATATTTTGCAACTAACAGTACTTCTTGGGGCATACAAACATCCATTGGTCCTACATAACCAACTTTTCCCAGCATTTATTTTTCAGAAATTGGTGCGAACTGCCACTTAATGAAAGAATTGTATTTTTTTAATAAAATAAATAAATCTGTCATTTCTGCCATCATTTTGACCCCACAGCCCTCAAGCCTGAATTTGTACAGCGCCTGAAGGATGAGAAAGTGGATGAGGGCAGTACGGTCAAATTTCACTGTGAGGTGACAGTCCCTAAAGCCGCAGCAGAATGGTGTAAAGATGGTGTAAGGATTCATGCTAGTCCCAAATATGACATCAGACAAGATGGTGGCGTCCGTGATTTACTCATTCGTAACTTGGAACCCCAAGACAGCGGAAAGTATTCGTGCATTGTTGGAGACCAAACTACATCTGCCACATTATCTGTGCAAGGTATGTGTTTTTTAAAGCAGACTGGAACTCACCATCACTTGGAAGTTGGCTCAAAGTCACCCAGCCAGCTTTCATGGCTAATGCAAGACTAGAACTCCCAATTTCCCAAATGGCGATCACATGAGCCTGGGACACCCAACCATTGTAAATCCATGCCAATTGCCAAGACTACAAGTTTTGATCATGTGACTGTGGGGATGCTGCAATGGTCATAAGACAAGGACCAGATTGCAAAGTACTTTTTTCAGGGCTGTTGTAATTTTGGACGGTTACTAAATGACGTTGAGGAGTCCCTGTATTTTAATGATTTAGTATGGATTTAATTGAACGGAGGTCTGCTTCTCCCTTAGCTTTTCAACATTTAATTAAGTAGACGATGCTTGAGGAAGGAAGAGTTGAATTTTTAATCTGCATATTTTTGAATGCAGCATTGCATAATATACTGTACATTTCCAAATCAATCTGTGGAATTTTCTCTGGAGACCCCTTCAGCAGTAAAAGACATTACAGGTAGTCCTTGACTTACAGCCATTCACTTAGTCACTGTTCAAAGTTACAATGGTGCTGAAAAAAGGCACTTATTACCATTTTTCACACTTACAACTGTTGCAGCATCCCCTTGGTCACATGATCAAAATTCAGCCGCTTGGCAACTGACATGTATTTATGACGATTGCAGATTTATGTGGTTGCCTTTTGAGACCTTCTGAGTAAAATCAATGGAGAGGCCAGATTCACTTTATAACCATGTTACTAACCTAATAAGTGCAGTGATTCACTCATGTGTCAAGAAAGGTCATAAAATGGGGCAAAATTCATTTTAAAAATGCCTCACTTAGCAATAGAAATTTTGGGCTCAATTGTGATCATAAGTTGAGGACTACCTATATTTGGATATAGTAAAATTATGACTTGATAGGCCCTTGCGATTGATTACAAACTCAAAACCCCAAATTCAAGGAAATTTATGTCTGATTTTTGATATTTTAACAACTTTCACTTTCTATCATAGCCATAGAGACCTTCTGAATATGTTGTTTGTTGTTCTGAAGGCTCAAAATAATTTTATTAGTTATGAAATTTGTCTATGGACCATCAGACTTGTGTGATTCTGTGACATATGAGCACAAAAAGACACATTTCAATTGGAATTTGATTCTGCTTCATACTACCTTTTAGGTTTTAATCACCTTTAGTTAAAGTTTAAAAAAAATAATACGGGTACCACATTTGACTTTGAAACCAGAAGTTGGCTTCTCTCTGCAATGTTATTAACAATATAGAAAAAGAGGGATTTAAATTTTGTGCATCAACTGGGCAATTCTGCTCAGATATGTCACTGAAATTAAATGGAAATAAACTCTTCTAATGGTTCCACAATTAGCCTCACAATAGTGTTGTGCAAATATTCAGCTGAATTTTATTTCTGAATTGAGTTGACTTTTCCAAGTAGAATTGCAAAGCTGTTTTGAGCTGAAATCAAATTTAATTTTTTAAAAAAATCTGTTTTCTGCCATTTGCGGCACAGCTAATCAAAAACCTTGCAATGTCTGAAATGAATCAGAGTGTCTTCTGAATAGAACAAATGAATCAATTAATCTTTGGTTTAATTCACACAGACCTTCAAGGTAGTTGGTAGCCTCGATAGAAGACCATAGTTGTAGCTCAGGGTTGAATTCTGGGGTCCTTGGTGCTTTCTGATCTTGGTGGTTTTCTTGCAGATGTTTCATGACCCAGCTAGGAAACATGATCAGTGCTAGAAGAGAGGGGGGTTTGCGGAGAGGAGGAGGAGGAGGAGGAGGAGAAAGGTGGGGGGAGAAGGAGAGGGAGAAGGAGAAGAAGACTGTAGGGTTCTTGTGAGCTTGGAAGTTTTCTTGCCAAGTGTTAGGGATATACCCTAGCAGAATGTGCACAGCAGTCAGGCAGTCAGGCGAATATGAGAGAAAGCGTTTTTTAGTTTTCACACTCAGTAAAAACGGATACACTGTCTTAGTTGAATAGTTTATTCCATTAAGAGTTTAGCAGGGTCAAACAGTCCAAATATCATTCACTAGTGTTCAGTCAGTTCAGTCCGGAGATTGTTCAATTGCAAAAATCCAGTGTCAAAAAAAGTCAGTTAACTTACAATGTCAATCCATAAATCAGTCCAGTAAATATCTTCTCACAGTAGATTAGATATGCAGCATTCAAAACTCTTTCCTCCTTCGACGTCAGCAACAGGGAACACGCAGAACAATCAACCATCAATCCAGGTTCTCTAGCTCCCTCTTATGGCAGTTTCTCAACCGCACCTAAATTATATCATTTAGAGTTTAAAGTGAAAAACACATTTAAACTTTGCTATCATGGTTTATATATTATTTACCCAAACAACGTTAGGTAACTATGGTTATTCCTAACACCGATGTTTCATTATTCAACTATATAACATCATCAGTGCTAGAAGAGATTGGCTTTGTGGGGAAGAATGTGGAGTCCTTGGTGCTCTCTGAGCTTGATGGAAGCTTAGTTAACAATCTCTGAGCTTAATAGTAGTAAAGGTCAAATGTTTTACTTTCTCCCATTCCTTTTGACCCCCACAGTCCTCAAAGCTGAATTCACACAACGGCTGAAGGATGAGAAAGCAGAAGAGGGAAGCACAGCCAGATTACACTGTGAGATCACAGTCACTAAAGCCCCCGTGGAATGGCACAAAGATGGTGCAAGAATCCACGCTAGCCCCAAATATGACATCCAACAGGATGGGGGCATCCATGAATTACTCATTCATAACTTGCAACTCCAAGACAGCGGTGAATATTCATGTAGCATTGGAGACCAAACCACGTCTGCCACGTTATCTGTGCAAGGTACGTTTTTTTTTTTAAGCAGACTACAACTCCTAGTCTCCTGGTGATTGTGCCAAAATCATCTGGCCAGTTTTCATGGCTAAGGCAGGTCTAGAACTCCCTGTCTCCTGGTGATTGCCCCAAAGTTACTTAGACAGTTTTCATGGCTAAGGCAGGTCTAGAACTCCCTGTCTCCTGGTGATTGCCCCAAACTCACCCAGCTGGTTTTCATGCCTAAGTATGGACTAGAACTCCTAGTCTCCCAGTTTCTAGCCTGATGCCTTCATTACTAGAGCAAACTGGCTCTCATAAAACAAGCCTGGTGTTTTACTTCTTCAGTTTGCAGGATTCCGTATCCCGTTTTTCCTAGCATGAAACCTGATTTATGGGACTTCTTTGATATTTGCTTCCTTGGATAGGGTTTGCTTTGTGGAGGATGGTCAATGTCTTTTGACATGACAAGTAAAACCTGAAGCACCATTTCAATCAAGTAGTCCTTTGGTTTTGGTTTTTCCTTCAAGTTGACCTCTGCAGCTTTAATACAGGTAGTCCTCGACTTACAACCAAAATTGACCCCAAATTTTCTATTGCTAAGTGAGAAATTTGTTAAGTGAGTTTTGAGTTTCCCATTTTATGGCTTTTCTTGAGACATTTGTTAAATGAATTGCTGCAGTTGTTAAGCTCATCGCAGAGTTGTTAAGTGAATGTGGCTTCCCTATTGATTTTGCTTGTCAGAAGATCACAAAAAGGGATCATGTGAGCCCAGGACATGTCATAAATATGAGTCAGTTGCCAAATATCTGAATTTGGATCATGTGACCATGGGGATGCAGCAATGGTCGTAAGCATGAAAAATGGTCATGTCGCTTTTTTTCAGTTCCATTGTAACTTTGAATGGTCACTAAACGATGCAACATTTTTGTTTCTTGCGTAAAGTACAGAATACATCCTGGTAAGATACAGATAATCCTCAAGTTACAACCATTCATTTTGTGACAATTCAAAGTTACAATGGTACTGAAAAAAGAGACTTGTGACCAGTCCTCACACTTATGACCATTGCACCATTCCCCACAGTCAGGGGATCAAAAGTTGGGCGCTGGCATCTGGCATGAATTTATTATGGAGAGGGCTGTATATAAGTCTAAGTGCTATTGCTATTATGATGGTTGCAGCTTCCCAAGGTCATGTGATCACCATTTAAATCTTCTCAGCCTCCTTCAACAAGCAGTGGTGGAAAGCTGGATTCATTTAATAACAGTGTGATTCACTTTAAAACTGCAATGATTCACTTAACAGCTGTAGTCAAAAAGGTCATACGATTGGGCAAGACTCACTTAAAAACCTTCTTGCTTATTAGCAATGAAAATTATTGTCTCAATTCTGGTTGTAACTCGAAGAATGCCTGTAGTTAACTGGGACCAAACCCACAGCTGAATTCCACTTGGGATGAGTTATAGGTGGTGGTTTATGGTCTATGTTGTCACTGTCACTGATGGATCTTGTGGCCTTTGTAGAAGTGGACATCACCATCATCCAGGGACTGAAAAGTGCAGAGGTTTTGGAAGAGGAAGAAGTCACCTTTGAGTGCGAAGTCTCCCATGACAACGCAAAAGATGTGGAGTGGAAATTGCAAGATTTGTCGCTTCAAAACAATCAGATGAATGAGATCTCAGTCGAGAGAGGACGGGTGCACAAGTTGACACTCCGCAACGTCACCCAGCAGGATTCTGGCATAGTCACCTTCCGGGTGGGACCGTATACCTCCACAGCGAGGCTCAGAGTGGACGGTACGACAAGTTCTATCAAAAGAATTGTGATCAGATATGGTTAAGCATCTCAGTTGTGTTGATGGGTTACGCGGAAGGGGATAATGTCAGGAAAACAGGTTAAAGAAAATGACAGTACGAACAATTCATCAGCGGAACAGCTTCCCTTCAGAAGTGTTGGATGCTCCATCACTTAAGGTTTTCAAGAACAGATTGGATAGCCATTTGTTCAGAATGGTATAGAGTCTTCATATAATATCATAATATCTTCATTAATGACTTAGATGAGGGAATAGAAGGGGAACTTACCAAATTTGCAGATGATGCTAAGCTGGCAGGAATAGCTAACACCCAAGAAGACAGGCTCAAGATCCAGATGGATCTTGATAGACTAGAACACTGGACCATATCTAATAAAATGAAATTCAATACAGAGAAAATTAAAGTCCTACACTTAGGCAAGAAAAACCAAAAGTATACATATAGACTGGGTGAAACTAGGTTCAATAGCAGGAACTGTGAGAGGGATCTTGGAGTCTTTGTGGACAACCAGCTAAATATGAGCCAGCAGTATGCAGCAGCAGCCAAAAAAGCTAATGCAATCCTAAGTTGTATTAACAGAGGGATGCAGTCAAGATCAAGGGAAGTACTAACACCAATCTATAAAGCCTGAGTAAGACCACACCTAGAGTACTGTATCCAGTTTTGGTCACCACATTATAAAAAAGATGTTGAGACTCTAGAAAAAGTACAGAGATGAGCAACCAGGATTATTAGTGGACTGGAGGCTAAAACATACAACAAACGGTTGCAGGAACTGGGCTTGGCTAGTCTAATAAAGAGAAGGACCAGGGAAGACATGATAGCATCTTCCAATATTTGAGGGGCTGCCACAGGGAGGAGGAAGGGGTCAAGCTATTTTCTAAAACCACCTGATGGACAGACAAGGAATAATGGATGGAAACTGAACAAGGAGAGATTTAACCTGGAAATAAGGAGAAACTTTCTGACAGGGAGAACAATCAACCCATGGAACAGAAGTTGCCTTCGGAAGTTGTGGGAGCATCATCACTTGAGGCTTTCAGGAAGAGATTGGACTGCCCTCTGTCAGAAATGGTGTAGGGTCTCCCGCTTGGGTGGGTGGTTGAACTAGATGACCTACAAGGTCCCTTCCAACTCTGATTATCTGTATCTGTATCTTGACCAAGGGGTTGGACTAGAAGACCTCCAAGGTACCTTCCAACTCTGCTATTCTGTATTCTATCAACAGATAAACTGTGCTCACATATCTATTCCCCCTATATTTATTTTATTTTATTTAGTAAATTTATATGCTTCCCATTGCCCTGATGAAGTGATTCTGGATGGCTCACAAGCTGTAAAAAGATAAATATAAAAACTATTAAAACTGTTTAAAAAGCTACGCAAATTCATATATGTGTATGTATGTGTGTGTGTCTGTCTGTCTGTCTATAACTGAATTCTGGACAGATAGAGTTCTCTGTGCATGTATGTGCTTGTCAGTCTGTGTAACTCTGACCTCAAGTTATTTTTTGAAATTTACACATACCTAAAATCATCTCGCTTCCAAAATAGGATTTCAGTTTAAATCCTATTTATATGAGAAGTTTGTAAGTGAACTCTGGTTTTATTTTCTCTCTCTCTCTTTTTTGTTTTTGTTTGCCAGTTCTTGCAAATGTTTTATTCACTTTCCATTCCAGCCCCGCATCCTGACTTTCAGCAAGAGCTGAGCAACCTAGAATTGCAAGAAGGCAGCACCGCTTTCCTCAAATGCGAAGTCTCTATGCTCAACGTCTCTGCTATCTGGAAAAAAGGCTCGGAAGTCATCGCTCCGAGCGCCAAGTACGAAATCAGTCAGCATGGAACGACCCATATTTTAAAGATTTATGGTGTAACTCGAAGAGATTCTGGAAAATATATTTGCGACATTGGACACGGGAGAAGCATGGCCACATTATCAGTGGAAGGTAAATGATTGATTAATCAAAACTCAGTATACAGGTAGTCCTAGACTTACAACAGTTCATTTAGTGACTGTTTGAAGTTACAATTAACACTGAAAAAAACGATCGTTACAGCCATCTCCATGGTCTTTTTATCAAAATTCAGGTGGTTGGCAACTGACTCGTATTTATGACGGTCGCTGTGTCTCGGGGTCATGTGATCCCCTTTTGCGACCTTCTGAAAAACAAAATCAATGGGGAAACTGGATCTGCTTAACAACCATGTTACCAACTTAACAACTGCAGAGATTCACTTAACCACCGTGGCAAGAAAGTTTGTAAAAGGTGACAAAGTTCACTTAACAAATGTCTCAATTGGTAACATGAATTTTTAGCACAATGATGGTTGTAAGTTGAGAACTATCTGTAGTTTTAATCCTTATAGGTGTCTGTGTTAATAAGCTTTCATTCTAAAATACACAACCGCTCCTAAAGGTAGCCCTTGAATTACAACCACAATTGGGTCCAGCATTTTTGTTGTTAAGTGATTCATGCCTGATTTTATGATGTTATCAAGCAAGTTACTGCAGTTTAGTGAGTGATGTGGTTGGTCATTAAGTGAATCTGTGTTTCCCATTTTGCATGTTGAAAGACAACTAGGAAATTTGCAAATGGTGATTAAGCTCAAAATATCCATTGCTAAGCAAGATGGTTCTTAAGTGAATTTTGTCCCACTTTATAACCTTTCCTGCCCCAGTTGTTAAATTAATCACTGCCATTATTAAGTTACAATTGTTAAGTGAATCTGGCTTTCCCACTGACTTCTCTTGTCAGAAGGTCAGAAAAGGGGACCGTGTGACCCCTGGGACATTGTTCAACTCATGGGTATCTGTGAGATATGGATGCTGTCTTCAGAACAATGAAAACAACACTATGCGGTTGAGCCATATTCTTTGCTTCAAGCTGTATTCTTTCTAAAAATGACATGTACACAATGTCATACATGTGTGCAAAAGAGGTAGAGCATGTGCTGCATGGACATGATGTCTTATTAGCATCCTTTATCATAAACAGCCAGTTTTGTTAAGGCAGCAAGCTAGAAACTGGGAGAGTGTGACTTCTAGTTCTGCATTAGGCATGAAAGCTGGCTGGGTGACAACAGGCCAAACGCCAGGACAGTGGGAATTCTAGTCTTACCTTAGGCTATTTACAAATAACTCAAGGCAGCAAACATATTCAACATACTGTCCTCCTCCAATTCCCCCAATTTCCCACACAATAATCACATCTGTGAGGTAGTTCTGCTAGAGGGAGAGTGACTGATTCCAGGTGACACATATTTTAAGGCATTGACTAGAACTTACAATTTCCTAGTGACTGGCCCAAAGTCATTCAGCTGGCTTTCATGCCTAGGTTGGGGCTAGAATTTACTGTCTCCTTGTGATTGGCCCAAAGTCACCCAGCCAGCATTCTTGCCTAAGATAGGACTAGGATTCACTGTCACCCGGTGATTGGCTAAATGTCACCCAGCTGACCTTTATGCCTAATGTGGGACTAGAACTCACCATCTCTTGGTGATTACCTAGCTGGCTTTCATGTCTAGAATTCACCACCTCCGTTTCTAGCCTGGTGCCTTGACCAATAGACCAACTGTCTCTCCTTTTTCTTATTTTCCAAGATAGTTTTCCTCCTCCTGTTCTTCCTCCCCCTCCACACCTTGCATTAGAAACCTATAACATGTATCACACCTATGACAAAAGCTCGCCCCTCTCTCTTCTTTCCCCGGTGTAGCTCTCTCAGCCCGTCCAGTGCTTTTTCAAGTCCAGCTGGAAAACCAGGAAGTCAAGGAAGGGGCAACGGTCACCCTGGCCACTGCGCTCACAAAACCTGATGTGCCTGTCCAGTGGATGAAAGGCTCTGCCCAGCTGCAGCCAAGTCACAAGTATGAGATGAGACAAAAGGCATCGTATGTGGAGCTGCTAATCCGTGATGCAGAAGTGGAGGATGCAGGCCACTATACCTGTCAAACCGAGGATCAACAGACCACTGCATCTGTGCTTGTCAAAGGTCAGGGGGAGTCAATTTTGCTCTCCTGAGATCAGACATGAATGACCGGACCCATACATGAAGTATTCAAAATAGCTGCTTTATTTTATATATTTATTTGTAGGGTCTTTGATAAATTTATTTATTTTTATTTATTTGTATTATTTATTTATTTATTTATTTATTTATTTATTTATTTATTTATTTATTTATTTATTTATTTGTTTGTTTGTTTGTTTGTTTGTTTGTTTGTTTACTTTGACGAGTGATTATAAGATAACAGGTATAAGTATAAACATGGTTAGGAATACATGAAATGGATACATATAAGAAAAATAAAAATAAACAATAGGACAGGGACGGTAGGCATGATTGGTGCGCTTATGCACACCCCCTACAGACCTCTTAGGAAAGGGGTGAGGTCAATAGTAGACAGTCTAAGGTTAAAGTTTTTGGGGTTTGGGGAAGAAACCACGGAATCAGGTAGAGGATTCCAGACATTGACCATTCTGTTGCTGAAGTCGTATTTCCTGCAATCAAGTTTGGTGCGGTTAGCCTTGAGTTTGTATCTATTGTGTGCTCTTGTATTGTTATGGTTGAAACTGAAGTAGTCATTGACAGGTAGGACATTGCAATATATGATTTTATATACTGTACTTAGATCCAGGGGTGGGATTCAAATTTTTTAACAACCGGTTCTGTGGGCGTGGCTTAGTTGGTGTGCATGGCTTGGTGGTCACCTGACTGGGTGGACGTGGCTTGGTGGTCATGTTATTGGCTGGGTGTGGCCAACTCAATATCACTCACATCGAGGCACGCATCTCCTCGCCTGACCTCTCATGACTGTGGGGATGCTGCAACAGTCATAAGTGTGAAAAATGGTCATAAGTCACTTTTTTCAGTGCCACTGTAACTTTGAATGGTCACTCCACACAAGCAAAGTATCAGCAAAAGAGGGGAAAAAAACTCAAGAGAAGTTCCAGAGACAGGAAGTCTAGTCCTACCAAGAGTGTAAAAAGGGTTAACGGAGAGGCAGTTTCTGTAAGCAACACCAGAATGTTTCCTTCCTGCCTTCCTTACAGGATTAGGCCAGTAATTTCTTCTAACAACCAGTTCTCTGAACTGCTTAGAATGTTAACAACCGGTTCTAGCGAATAGGTGCAAACTGGTAGAATCCCACCCCTGCTTAGATCGGACCTAAGGCGGCGCAGTTCTAGGTTTTCTAGGTCTAGAATTTCAAGTCTGGTGGCATAAGGTATTCTGCAATGAGTAGAGGAATGGAGAACTCTTCTTGTGAAATATTTCTGGACTTTCTCAACTGTGCTAATATCAGATACATAATGTGGGTTCCAGACTGATGAGCTGTATTTGAGTATTGGTTAGCAAATGTTTTGTATGCTCTAGTTAGTAGTGTGATATTACCAGAGAAAAAGCTACGTAGGATTAGGTTAACAACTCTTAACGCCTTGTTGGCTAGGTAATTACAGTAGCCTCTAGCACTTAGATCATTAGAGATGAGTCCTTTGCAGAGCTTCGATCATCAACAAGGTCTTGACTATTCAGCTTGTATTTTATTTTCTGATTTTTTTTGCCAATATGTAGGACAGGGCATTTATTTGTTGAGATTTGAAGTTGCCATTTGATTGACCATTCTGATACATAGTCAAGATCTTTTTGAAGGGTCGCAGTATTTTCTGTGGTGTTGAATAGTTTTACATCGTCAGCGAAGAGAACGCAGTTGCTCTTAATATGATCACAGAGATCATTTATGATCTCTGAACTTGGTCATTTTCTTGCAGATATTACAAGACCCAATTAGGGAACATCATTAGTGCTAGAAGGGAGTGAGGTTTATAGAGGAGGAGGAGGAGGACATCTGTGAGTTCTTGATGCTCTCTGAGCTTCGTTGTTTTTTTTTGCAGATTTTTTTCTTGCAGATGGGATGACGTTACCAAGTTGAATCGTGAAGCATCTGCAAGAAGACAACAAAACTCAGAAAGCCCTAGGGACCAATGGTCCTGTCGGCCCCATCCCGCTCCTCCCCTTCTCCCTCCTCCTTCTCTCTGCAATCACCACTCCCTTGTAATATTGATGATGTTAACTGGTTGGGTCATGAAATGTCTGCAAGAAAACCATTAAGCTCAAAAAGCATCAAGGATCACACCCTCTTTCTCCTCCTCCTCCTCTCCATAATCGCCACTCTCTTGCAGCACTGATGATGTTATTTAATTAGGTCATGAAATGTCTGCAAAAACAAACACTGGGATGTAACAGTAGGATTAGTTGAATGTAAATTAACAGAGAAACAAATGAAATAAAAAGTTATATCTTTCAATTGTAGAAATACCGGCCACCATAGAAGAAAAATTGAAAGACCTCACTGTTCATGAAGGAGAGGATGCTGTGTTTCGCTGTGTGGTTTCTCATGAGAAGGCCAAAAACCCACAATGGAGTTTGGCAGGTGTGCCTCTGCAATCCAATGAAATGAACCAAATTAGCATGGAAGGCAAAATTCACACCCTCGTTCTCCGAAAAGTCACCCTTGAAGACTCCAGCACTGTCAGTTTCCAAGTTGGTCAGAATTCAACACAGGCTCAGTTATTGGTACAAGGTAAGTTGGTCAACTGTTCAGATGGAACTTGATCTTCCACAGGGACATCCATCCATGGGAAGATGTGGAGGAGGAGGAGAAGGATGACAAGGACAACTGGGGAGTCCTTGGTGCCCTCTGAGCTTTGTTGTTTTCTTGTAGATGTTTTATAATCCTACTAGGTACCATCATCAGTTCTAGAAGAGAGTGGGTTTGCTTTCTCTTTATATAGAATACCGCATCCAGTTTTGGTCACCACAATGTAAAAAAGATGTTGAGACTCTAGAAAGAGTGTGGAGAAGAGCAATAAAAAATAAAAATGATTAGCGGACTGGAGGCTAAAACAAATAAAGAACAGTTGCTGTAACTGGGTATGCCTAGTTTAATGAAAAGGACAAGAGGTGACATGATAGCAGTGCTCCAATATTTGAGGGCCTGTCCCAAAGAAAAGGGAGTCAAGCTGTCCTCCAAAGCACCTGAGGAGGGGACAAGAAGCGATGGATGGAAACTAACCAAGGAGAGAAGCAACCTGGAACTAAGGAGAAATTTCCTGATAGTTTGAATAATTAATCAGTGGAACTTCTTGCCTCCAGAAGTTGTGAATGCTCCAACACTGGAAGTTTTTAAGAAGAAAATGGATAACAATTTGTCTGAAATGACATAGGGTTTCCTGCCTGAGCAGGTGGTTGGACTAGAAAATCTCCAAGGTCCCTTCCAACAGTTATTCTATTCTTTTCTATTCTATATGCAAGTGGCTTGCCCTTATAGAATGTTCTTGCTGATTCTTTGAATAGACCAGGGGTCTCCAGCCTTTTGGACCTCAGGGACCACCAAATTCATAATTTTAAATTCTGCAGACCACTAATATGAATCCAGCATGCCACTTGCTGAAGTGCCTGGACTCCCTCTGACAGGATGGGGTCCTTCAGGCTTGGCTGCCTATTTTTGCAACCTTAAATACTCAGTCATTTGGAGCCGTTTCCCACAGAAAACAAAACACCGGGTTCTCTCATCTCTCTCTCTCTCTCTTTCTCTCCCTCCCTCCCTCTCTCTTTCTCTTTCTCCCTTTCTCCCGCTTTCTCTCTCTGTGTGTCTTCTCTCTCTCTCTCTCTCCCTCTTTCTCTCTCTCTCTATGACTTGTCTCTCTCTTTTCCTCTCTCTCCCTTTCTCCCTCCCTCCTTCTCTCTCTGTGTGTCTTGTCTCTCTCTCTCTCCCTCTCCCCTCTGTCTTTCCCTTTCTCTCTCTCTCTCTCTCTTTCTTTCTCTCTCTCTCTCTCTCTCTCTCTCTCTGTGTGTGTGTGTGTGTAGGTCTTGTCTCTCTCTCTCTTCCCCCCCTCTCTTTCCCCAGGGGTGGGAGTGGGGGGGAAAGGAACCTCTGAACCGGTGCTGGGTGGTGGGAATCTGGTGTCCGGAGGCCCACGAGCCACCTGCTGAAGACCAGATGGCTGGCGGGGAGGTGGGACAATCCTGCAGTCTCCCTAGCAAACCTGTGTCATGGATGCTGCCTCCTGCCTTTGCGCGCGCATTGAGGAGGCCAAGAAGCAGCGGGAAGAGCACAGTCCTCCTGAGCCGCAGGAAGCAGCTGCCAGCGATGCCCTCAGGTGAAGATATTGCAAGGAGGAGGCTCGACCCTTCCCCTCAGGAGCCGCAAAGCGCTCACTGCCCCTCTGGCACCTGCCAAGCCTCCTTCCTGCTGTGCGTATGAGTGCTTCAGGCGAGGAGGAAGAGCAGCATGGTGGGAGGAGGCTTGGGGACTGCCAGAGGGGCAGTGAGCACTTTGTGGCTTCTGAGGGGAGGGGGAGGGAGATTGTGCCCTCCCCTCGCAGGCCAGGGAATACCCAGGAAGGGCTCTGATGCTGTGATCTCCCCCACACTACCCTCTCTCCCCGTGCGCATCAGTCCATCTGCCGCCGCCAATATCACCCCTGTTGCAGACACGGGTGCACTGAACACCATGGACCACCAGTGGTCCACAGACCACCAGTTAGCGACCTCTGGATTAGACTATTGCTTACTGTTAGCTTGTTTGTCTGAGTTGGTAGTTAATCTTTGCCCATTTGTGTGATTGATTTTGATTTTCCTTGATTTTGGCAATGAGGTGTGATCTTTTATATTTTTAATCATTGCTTTTGAATGGTGTGTAAATATTCTTCATTTCAATGTGCTTGTTGATGGCCCATTTGTCTGAGTGCCAGGCTTGCAGGAAGTCTCTAGCAGTACTGGCTTGTTCTAGGATGCTGACATTTTTCCAATTACTGTGTCCAATAAAGGTGTTTTTATTGTGTCTTCAGATGGCCTTTATTGTGTCTTCAGATGCTCTCTATGATCTTCTGCTTGGTTATCCTACACAGTAGCTATTACAATCCTTATATTGTACAGGCGCAGTCTTCAGCTTACCACCACAATTGAGCCCAAAATTTCTGTTGTTAAGTAAGACATTTGTTAAGTGAGATTTGCCCCATTTTATGACCTTTCTTAGCACAGTTAAGTGAATCACTGCAGTTGTTCAGTTAGTAACACATTTGTTAAATGAATCAGGCTTCCGAATTGACTCAGCTTGTCAGAAGGTTACAAAAGGAGATCACATGACCCTGAGACAGTGCAACCATCATAGTTTACTTTATTGTCATTGCACCTCATACAACAAAATTAAATACCATCTTCAGTGTACATTATGACTATGAAAGTAAACACAAACATCCATCCTTCACATTTTACACATTGAATTGAAAAATATTGCTTAATATTGCACTATACAGTAGAATTCAGTAGAGATACTGCCCTGGGATAGAAGCTGTTTTTCAGCCTATTTAACTTGTTTTTATTATCCTGTATTGTCTACCAGATTGTAGTAGTTCAAAAAAGGGATGCCCAGGATGAAATGGATCTTTGAGAATGTTTTGAACTTTCTTAAGGCAGTGGGAGCTATAAAGTTCTTAATCATAAATACAAGGCAGTTGCCAAGCATCTGAATTTTGATCATGTGACCTTAAGGGATGCTGCAGTGGTCATAAGCGTGCAAAATGGTCATAAGTAACTTTTTGTAGAGCCATTGTAACTTTGAACGGTCACTAAATGAACTGTTGCAAGATGAGGACTACCTGTACATTGAAGATGACTTTGATGGTCTATATGCTCAACAGAAGCCTCTTTTCCCCTCTCTGTAGCTGCGCCAATAATCCTCCTTAAAAAGCTGGAGAATGCAGAAGTAGCCGAAAACGGCATGGCCACTTTCCGCTGTGAGCTTTCCAAACCTGGCGTCCCAGTGGAGTGGAGAAAAGGATCATCCCTGATACAGCCCAGCCAGAAGTTTGAAGTCAAGACAGAAGGCAATGCCTACATTTTAATCATCCATGATGTGGTTCCAGAAGACTCAGGACAATATATGTGCAGTGCAGCTGACAAGAAAACCACTGCCAAGCTAAACGTTAAAGGTGAGTGTAGCTATTGGAGAACTATTGAGATAAATAATAGAATCATAGGGCTGAAAGTGACCTTGGAGGTCTTCTAGTCTAACCCTCTGCCAAGGTAGGAGTCCTGCCCAATGCAGGAGTCCAGCTCCCGGACAGATTATTGTCCAATCTTGTCTTGAAAACCTTCAGCAATGGAGCATCCACAACTTCTGGTAGCAAGCCATTCCACCAGTTAATTCTTCTCACGTTCACTTCATTCCCCTTCATCTCATCTCTTGCCTCCACTTATTCTAGGTCCTGTTTCTCTCTCTTCATCCATCCATTTGACCTTCAGAGATCTTATTATGGTTTACTGTTTTACCATTTTGTTTAATGTTTCAGGGTTTAAGATACCGTATTGCTTGATGATATCTTTTCAGTGTGTTCATGTATATCTAAACTATACAGGTATTTCTTGAACAACAACCATTCATTTAGCAATCGTTTGAAGTTACAATAAAGCTGGGAAAAAAGTGATTTAGGACCATTTTTCACACTTATGACTGTTGCAGCATCCCCGGGGTCATGTGATCAAAATTCAAACACTTGGCAACTGACAGTAGCAGTGTCCCACTGTCCCAGAGTCATGTAATCTCCATTTGTGGCTTCCGACAAGTAAAGTCAATGGCAGAAGCTGGATTCGCTTCAGTTAACAACTGCAGTTATTTGCTTTACAACCATGGTTAAAAGGTCATAAAATTGGCCCTGACTTACTTAACAACCACCTTGCTTAGCAACATAAATTCTAGCTCCAATTTTAGTCATGTCGAGGACTATCAAAATGGTCATCAACACGAGGACTGGTTGTAAGTCACTTTTGCAGTGCTGTTGTAACTTCAAACATTCACAAAATGAATGGTTGTAAGTTGAGGACTACCCATATAGTAGTATATGTATTTAGGAAGAATTGGAGGTGCTCCATCACTGGAGGTTTTCAAGAAGAAATTGGACAATCACTTGCCTGAAATGGTATAGGGTCTCCTGCTTGAGCAGGGGGTTGGACTATATGACCTCCAAGGTACCTTCCAACTCTGTTATTTTTTGATTCTATTCTCCAAAGCACCTGAGGGCAGGACAAGAAGTAATGGACAGAAACTAATCAAGGAGAGAAGCAACCTAGAACTAAGGAGAAATTTCCTGACAATTAAAACAATTAATCAGTGGAACAGCTTGCCTTCAGAAGTTGTGGGTGCTTCATTAATGGAGGTTTCAAAGAAGAGATTGGGCAGTTATTTGTCTAAAATGATTTGGGTTACCTGCTTGAAGAGCGAGTCAGACTAGAAGACCTTTAAGTTGCCTTCCCACTCTGTTATTCTGTATTCTGATTGATGGGATTTACTTAACAAGTCTCTTTTGGTATCTGTTTGCTCTTTCAGCTCTGCCGGTATTGTTCAAGCGAGGTCTGCAGAACAAGGAGGTTGAAGTAGGAAACACTGTGTCATTGTGTTGTGAGTTGTCCAAGCCGATGTCACCTGTGGTGTGGAGAAAAGGAAACACGAAGCTTCAGTCGGGTGAGAAGTACGAGATCAGACAAGAAGGGAACTTTGCTGAGCTTCTCATTTATGACCTGGAAATTCAGGACGATGGCGATTATACTTGTGATTCAGGAGACCAGCAGACCACTGCCACAGTGAAGGTCAAAGGTAGGAAAAGCTGGATGAGTTCCAGGGACATCTGTCTCCAATAGAAGAGAGTATTTGTACCTTGGTGATGAACCATGGGGTCCTTGTGCTCTCTGAGCTTGGTGGCTTTGTTGCAGACATCTCATGACCCAACTAGGTATTGTCATCAGGGATAGAAGGGAAGGGAGGATTGCAGAATGGAAGAAGGAGGAGGACTGTGGGACCCTAGTTGATCTCTGAGCTTGGTTGGTTTCTTGCAGATATTTCATGACCCAACTAGGTAACACCATCATTGTTAGAAAGAAGTGAGGTGTATTCTGTTTATATCACTGATGATGTTCTCTGGCTGGGTCATGAAATGACTGAAAGAAAACAACCAACATAAGAGAGTATCAAGGATGTCACAGTCCTCCTCCTCCTCCCCCCCCTCCTCTCTGTAACCCCTCTCCCTTCTGCCACTGATGATATTACCTAGTTGGATCATAAAATATTTGCCAGAAAATAACCAAACTCAGAGAGCACCCAGGGTCTCACACTTCTATCTTCTTAATACTTTTCCTTGGGAGTGGCTATATTTCATTTAATGACTTCCTCCTTTATATGTAGTTGCATTTGCTTTCTTGGAATCATTTTCTCCAATGGATGAATTTGCTGAGGATTATACAGGAAGTTGTCAGCTTACAGCCACAATTGGTAGCAGGATTTTCATTGCTAAGCTTGGCAGTTGTGAAGTGAGTCACACCTTTTTTGTCATGGTTGTTAAATGAACCAATGAGGCTGTTAAGTAAATCAAGTAGTCATTAAGAGAATCCGGCTTCTCCCATTGATTTTGCTTGTTGGAAGCCAGCTAGGAAAATCATAAATGGTGATCATGTGACCCTGGAGTGCTGCAACCGTTGTAAATATTTGCCTGTTGCCAAGCACCCAGATTTGGTATGGATGCTGCAACAGTCATACGTGCACAAACCGGTCATTCATTACTCCTTTCAGTGCTGTTGTAACTTCGATTAACTTTGGTGCTAAGCAAATGGCTGTAAGTTGAGGACTACTTCTAGACTGCACACAGGTAATACAAGACGCAGAAAGATTCTGCACAAATGGGGCTATCTGGTTGCTTCTGCTCTTTGCGATTGTGGTGACATGCAGACAATAACACATATATATGCCAGCCCTTTGGATCTTGATCGGTGTAGACAGAAGGATCTCACAGCAACATGACAGAACACAATTGATGTTGCTAGTTTCTGGGCAAGATCTATTTAATTTATACATATTTTAATCTTGTATTTTATATTTTAAATTTTATGTTCTTTTAGTGACAGTTCAACATTACATTGTCATTGAAAAAATGACTTTTGACCATTTCCCACACTTACAATTGTTTAGCATTCCTATGGTCATGGGATCAAAATTCGGATGCTTGGCAACTGATTCATATTTGTGATGGTTGCAATGTTCCGGGGTCCTATGATCCCCTTGTGTGACTTTGTGACAAGCAAAGTCAATGGGAAAGCCAGATACCCTTGACAAACATGTTAGTAACTTCACAATTGCGGCAAAACTCACGTCTCACTTAGCAACAAAGATTTGGGGCTGAATTGAGGTCGTAATATTTTGTGATGCTTCTGAAACAAAACAAACACCAAATAAACCTGTAGAGGTATTGTTTAATGTCTGCCAAGGGCATCAGAGGCATCACAACGCTTTTGTCCTTTCTCCCTGGTAGTATTACCCATCTTCTTTGAAGAAGGGTTGCAAAACGTTGAGTCAGAGACTGGAGGGATAGCTGTCCTATGTGGCAAGATCTCAAGTCCCAACACTCCCGTGGAGTGGCGGAAAGGGTCCCTCATTCTGCAGCCCAGTGCCAAGTACGAGATGAAGCAGAAAGGCCCCGCAGTGGAGCTGATCATCCATGATTTGGAACCGGAGGATTGTGGGTCGTATACATGCAGCACCGGAGACGAGCTGTCCACAGCCTCGGTATACGTGCAAGGTGTGTTCCTAATTCTTATTTGCATTTTGTCAATGCTGCAGCCAGTTGATTTGATGTCAACCTTGTCAACAGAGGGATAATATCAAGATCTCGGGAAGTATTGGGATTGCTTTATACAGCACTGGTTACTCCACATTTGGAATGCTGTATCCTTTTGTGGTTGCCAAATTACAAAAAATATTGAGACTAGAAAGAGTGCAAAGAAGAGCAACAAAGATAATCATGGGATTGGGGGCTAAAGCATATGAAGAATGGTTGCAGGAACTGTCTAATGAAGAGAAGGATTAGGGGTGGCATGATGATAGTCTTCCAATATTTGAGTGGCTGCGAGAAAGAAGAGGGGGTCAACCTATTCTCCAAAACACCTGAAGGCAGGACAAGAAGCAACAAATTGAAACTAATCAGGGAGCAATTCAGCTAAATAAGAACTACAGATAAATTTCCTGACAGCGAGAACAATTAATCAGTGGAATGACTTGTCTTGAGAAGTTGTGGGTGCTCCAACACTGGTGGTTTTTTAAGAATAAATTGGACGGCCATTTTTCCAGAATGGAGTAGAGCCTCCTGCTCAAGCAGAGGGTTGGACTAAAAGACCTCGAAGGTCTCTTCCAACTCTGTTATTCTATGGAGAATGGAGTAGAGCCTCCTGCTCAAGCAGAGGGTTGGACTAAAAGACCTCGAAGGTCTCTTCCAACTCTGTTATTCTATGATTCTATTCTCCAAAGCACCTAAGGAGAATAAGAAGCAATGGGTAGAAGGTTATCAAAGAGAGATCCAGCCTAAAAGTAAGGAGAAATTTCCTGTCAGTGATAACAATCAATCAGTGGGCCTCAAGATAGGTTATTCCATTGCTACATTGACCAGGGAATTCCTCTTTATTTTCAAGTTGTTTCTTTTTAAGATTATTTCTATACATAAAAATGGAACTCATGCATCTGTTTTGTGCCTCTTCCTGTTATTAAACTAGGTTTGGAGGCAAATCAATCTTTCTAACATAGTCACCGAGGAATTCAGTGGATCTGAAAAAATGAATGATCCTAAACGAAATATCTCTTTGGCATGTAAACCACCTTGTTGTATAGATGACTAATATGGAGTTTGCTTCTGCAGTTCTGGTGTGAGACTGTTTTTTAAAAAAGGATTAATGTGTGATTTTGGATGATTTTGAAAAGTTAAGCAGCATCAGGCCTGGTTAGCATTTGGAAGGGAGGGAAAGTACTAAGAAAAGAAGAAGAAATTAGCCATATTTTGGCTAAGAAAATTGCATTCATGGATGTGTGTATTTTATTTGTTCTGTGAGTGATCAAATGGAAACTCTCATTATTTTATTGCAGTCCACTTGTGCTAAAAGGTTTTAAGGAGTTGATGAGATGCCATGGAAAATAAGGAAGGTAACCTTCACAGAGATAGGCCAGATCTGTTAGGAAAGCAGCAAGGAGGAAATCATAGTTTAAATCAAAAATAAGAACATGTTTGCAAAAAACTCAGGCTGACACCTTCTCTAATTCACATGAATATAAGGGGGGACATGAAGAAGAGTTGCCAACCATTTTGGGAGAGGCAGGTGCCTTTATGCATACCTGCACACACATGAACAAGACCATGAGCATACGCACGATGCAATCGAGACCGCAAGCTCGCAGAGATGCTAGTGCCCACGTGATGCTCGCAGCAATGCTTGCACCCATGGGAAGCTCATGGCAACACTAGTGCCCATGTGATACTCGCGGCGGAATTAGCACAAGTGGGTGTGTATGCCTGCACACACATATACGTACACTGGCCAGTCATTCACACAGCCTGGTGGCCAAGAGGCCACGGCCAGGTAGTGGACTCTGGCCCATAGGTTGGGGACCCCTGTGGTAAAGCACAGTCAGATTTTTCAAGATTCTGTTCTTATAAATCAACATAAATAAAAGTAATTTTAGTCTTCTTGTCGAGTTGATTTCTTGGTTGGGTGTTTAGTTGCCTGAGAGCTGTATTGTTCCAGCTTTGTGAAAAATCAGAACAGAAATAAAAAAGATAGTTTCTGGGATATGATGACAGGTAGTCCTTGACTTACGGCCACAATTGATACCTTTGTTAAGCAAGACAGTTGTTAAGTGAGATGCACCTGATTTTGATTTTTTGGCATGATTGTTAAGTGAATCACATGGTCATTAAGTGAATCCAGCTTTTCCCACTGATTTTGCTTGTCAGAAGCCAATTGGGAAAGTCACAAAGGGTAATCACATGATGCTGGGACACTGATGAGCATCCAAATTTTGATCACATGATTATGGGGATGCTGCAATGGTCATAAGTGCGAGGATCAGTCATAAGTCACTTTTTTCCAGTGTCGTTGTTACTTTGGGTGAATGGGTGTAAGTCAAGGATTCCTGTACTTTTGTAGGTTTCAGTGCAAGTTTACAGAGTTTTAATTTGGGGTGCTAATTTTGCAACGTCTCTCCTGGCGAAATGTTGTGTAAGATGAGTAGAAACACAAAGACGTTCCATTTTTACACCTCCGTTGCGTGCGTTCTCTTCCTCTGTTACACAGAAGAGGAAATACAGATAGTTTCTGGTTTAAAGAACACGGATATTTTTGCCGGGGAATCAGCTACTTTTACCTGCGAGCTCTCCCGATCCGGAACACAAAAAGCGCAGTGGTGGCTGGACGGCTCCCCTCTTCACAACAGCCCTGCAAATGAAATCTCGGTGCAAGGTGGGACCGTTCACAAGCTGATCTTAAAAGACCTGGGTCTCAATGATTCAGGAACAGTGATCTTCCGAGCAGGTTCTCTGATATCCTCGGCTAAGTTACTAATCAAAGGTATTTCAGGCTTTCCCTGTCAGGCAACCACCATGCTGCGCTTGTTCCTTGTGTCACTGGACCCCTAACCAATTCCTGCAAAACAGCTCCTGGAAGGAATGCATTAACCACTAGGCACCACTACTTTAAGCACAATCCTGCATCTTACTCACAGTCCTTGGAAGATATTTATTTATTTCTTAAATTTATATGCTGCCTGTCTTGGTAATCTAAAGTGACTCTGGAAGGTTTACAATGGCATATGATAGATTTAGAAGCACCTGATAATTCCCTGTGCTGAATCTGCTGAACCATCACAAATACTGGCAGCATAAAAGTTTAATAAATAAAATAAATACATCTGGTTTTAGGTTCTTTTGCAATCTTTTGTAGAGCAGCTGAAACCATTCCAACAAAATAGCTTTCAGCTCAATCTTGTTTGGTGGTTATCATCTGTGAGTGAGCCAATCACAAATAGGGTCGCTTGGAAAGCATACAAATTTAATTATATAATAATTAATAATAAAAATTAATAATAAACTGTAGCTACAGGCCAAGATGATGTAAATGGGAGATTTTCAGAGATGCTTAAATACCCATCTGAGCACAGTAACTACTACAGGTTGTTTGTAGATGGTCCTCAGCTTATAACCACAATTGTGACCAGAATTTCCATTGCTAAGAAAAGTGATTGTGTAGTGAATCCTGGCTGATTTTATGACTGATTTATCATGGTTGTTGAGCGAATCACTGCAGCTAAGTGAATTGTGTGGTTGCTAAGCGAATCTGCTAAGTGAATCTTTCCCCATTGACTTTGCTTGTCAGAAGCTGGCTGGGCAGGTCACATGACCCCATCATGCTGCAACCCTCATAAATACCAAGCACCTAAATTTTGATCACATGACTGCAATGCTGGAATGATCTTAAGTGTGAGAACTGGTCATAAGTCACTTTTTTCAGTGCCATTGTAACTTTGATGGTTGCTAAACAAAAGATTGTAAGTTGAGGACTATGATATTACAAAAAATGACTTAACCTGACCAACTTTCTCAATAATTCAGCTTCCAGAATTCTCTGCAATCTCCACGCTAGCTGAGGAATTCTGGGAGTTGTAGTCCACACCCCTGGAAGGTTTCTAAATTAGGCAAAACTGCTTTCAGCCATTCAATCACCAATGATCTGCTGCCTCTTTAGCTAACCCAAATGCTTCTATCATTTTCATCACCGAGCCAAGCAAGCATTAAACCATCTTAGCAAACTAAAGAGTGCTTCTGATCCCTGCTTTCACACAACTTGCTGAGAGTCCGTCTTTAAAAGCAAAAAAGTCTCCATAATTATTCCCCCAAGCCTGCACTAACACCTGACCTATCGGTTGACAGATCCGACCATCGAGGTAGTCAGCCCCATGCAGGACCTAACTGTGGAAGAAGATGGGACTGCGGAACTCATCTGCCAGTATTCTCGGCCAGTGCAGGCCATCTGGAAGAAGGATGATCAACCTCTTTGGGGAGATGGCCAGCGAATTGTGGTTGAGCAGGACTGGAACGTGGCCAGATTGAAAATCAAGCCGGCTTTTCCTGGTGACACGGGGATTTACTCTTGTGAAGCTGGAGGCACCAAAGTGGTGGCCATGCTTGACGTTCAAGGTGAGGTCTTCTTCCACAATGGAAGAAGATGACCATGTGAACTCCGCTGCAACTGACACAAGGGCCAAACCAACTTCCTTTGGGTGACCAATACCAGAATAACAGAGTTGGAAGGGACCTTGAAGGTCTTCTAGCCCAACCCCCTGCTCAAGCAGGAGATGCTATATCATTGCAGACAAATGGTTGTCCAATCTCTTCTTAAAAACCTCCAGTGTTGGAGCACACCCACAACTTCTGGAGGCAAAGTCATTAAGCGACTAGCTTTTGGAGGTCAAAGAACAAGGGGAGATTTGATCTTTACAAAGGGGTTAGCTAATACTTATAGTCAGTGTTGGGGAACTGGAAAACCTTGTGAGAACATCAGCATTCATGCAGGGCTGTTGAGGCTCTCTGAGCTTGGTTGTTTTCTTGCAGATGTTTCATGACCCAACTAGGTTACCTCATCAGTGTTAGAAAGGAGTACAGTTTGTGGAGAAAAGGAGGAGGAAGAGGAAGGAGGAGGACTGTGGAGTCCTTGGTGCTCTCTGAGCTTGGTGTTTTCTTGCAGATATTTCATGACCCAACTAGGTTACATCATGTGCTAGAAAATAGAACCTCACTCCCTTTTAACACTGATGATGTTACCTAGTTGGGTCATGAAATGTCCGCAGGAAAACAATCAAGGTCAGAGAGCACCAAATATCCGTGTTTTCTTGACTTGCCTGCATTTTTCAAACACACTTTGTTTAATTTCTTCTATCTGCTGTTAATCTTGGCAATATACCATTGCATTAAATAAATTCAGGCAAAAGCAGAGAGCTGTCTCCGGCTGAATTTGTGTCACAACCATGAAGAGTTTTCTTAGCACTTATCAACATCAGAAATTCAATTATCTTAGACACAGTAGGAGAACAGGAATCCTGGCCTACCTTACAGGGCTGTTGTAAGGATAACTCAGCAATGCATATGAGCAGCCTAAAACATTTTGTAATTGCTCTGTGTTACTGCAAGCTTAATGGTCATCTGCTGTTACTTGGAGCTAAAGCTTTTGAAAGTTATATTTTACGAAATATGCTTTATTATTTGGCCTGTCTACTATTCTGATTATTTTATTGCTTGCATTATATTTTTTTAATGCTTGGCTGCCGGGTTGCTTTGAAATATGTGAAAACACAACTGCCCATTTTTAAATAAAAGTCACTTTGAGTAAAGCTTTGTGATGATAAAAACAAAGACCAAATTATGTTTTTTATTATGGACATTAAAAAAACATAATTGTACCACATACTTACTGTTTCTGCAGCAGCCAAGATCAAGCTGAGGTTAAGCAATCAGGTTAGAAACCGGGAGACTGTGAGTTTTAGTTCTCCTTTAGGGAAGGACCTGGGGAACTTTAGGCCAATCACCAGGCAATGGTGAATTCTGGTCCCGCATTAGGCACACAAAATGGCTGGGTGACTTTGAGCCGATCATCAAGAGACAGGGAGTTCTACTCCCACCTTCACAGGGTTGTTTGGTGGGGAAAATAGGAGGAGGAAGGAGTATTATGATATGTTCATAGTTTGAGTTGTTTATGAAAGAATAAGGAAGGTGGGACATACATAAATAAATTTTGTAGGCTTGAATTTCATTGGCATTATTCACAGCTCCTTTTAGAAAGGTTTTCTATGGCATCTGAAAAGCATATAGGCAGCCCTTGACCTACAATATTTATGTGGTTAAGCGAGATATTTGTTAAATGAGTTTTGCCCCATTTTACAACCTTTCTTTTCACAGTTGCTAAGCAAATCACTGCAGTTGTTAAGTTAGTAATATAGTTGTTAAATGAATCAGGTTTCCCTATTGACTTTGCTTGTCAGAAGATCGCAAAAGGGGAACCCCGGAACATTGCGACCATCATAAATATGAGTCACTTGCCAAGCGTCTGAATTTTGATCATGAGACCAAAGGGATGGCTGCAATGGTTGTAAATGTGAAAAGCGGTTAAGTCACTTTTTTCAGTGCCATTGTAACTTTGAACAGTCACTAAACGAATGGTTGTAAGTCAAGGACTACCTGTAATTAAAGAGGAAATCACCATGGGTACTAAAGTAACATGTGTAGTCTGTTGTCACTTCCTTGACATCTGCAGAGTTCGCCTTTAATTTTAATTTATTGTCATTTACAATTTTGAGGTTTTTTTTTTACATGACTCAAACCCTTCTCTTACCCTTGTTGAAATCCGGCAGAACCAAATCTTAGTGTGGAATTAATTCTTCCTTACAATATTACGATCCTAGTTCGCGACTACCCCATAGAGAAGAAGGTTTAAAAAATCCACCGAGGATGTAACCATGCAATTAAATTTCCACTTAAAAAAACAAACTGTGTCATGTTTGATCTCCTAAGTCACAACTTAGTCTTATAAAAACTCTTTCTCCTTTCCAAAACTCAACCTATATCAAAATGAAAATTGAATTTCAGCTAAAGATGGCAGACACTTCATTTTTTGAATATAAAGCATTGGAAGCAACCAAGCTTGCAATCTGTCTAAAGTCTTGTAATTGTTATATTTTATATATTGTATCAATATAATATCCAGTTATATATATAATATATGTAATATTATACATTATATATAATAAGCGTGTGTGGATGTGTTATTTGTAATTTATACTTTTTATATATAATATGTAACCTATATGCATAATATATATTATACATATAGCATATAATACTTATACTTATTATTTCCAGCTAACTTAAATGCTATATAGGTAGTCCTTAAATTACAACTACAATTGATCCCAACATTTCCATTGCTAAGTAACGCTGTTTTTAAATAAGTCATGTCAGTTTATGACCTTTTTTGCCATAGTTGTTAAGTGAATCACTGCAGTTATTAAGTAAATCACACTGCCATTAAGTCAATCTGGTTTCTTCCATTGACTTTGCTAATCGGAAGCTGTCTGAGAAAGTCACAAAGGGTGATCAAATGAACCCAGGACGCTGGAGCCATCATAATCTATGAGTCACCTGCCAAGCACCTGGATTTTAATCACAAAGACCATGGGGATACTGTAATGGTCATAAGTGTGAGAACCAGTCCTAAGTCAATTTTCTGGTGCTGTTGTAACTTCAGATGGTCACTAAACAAACAGTTACAAGACAAAGACTACCCATATCATGGGAAAGTCAGGGATTGAGGCCTTTTTTATTATTAATTCCATTTTTTTTTTTTGTCCTAACAGCCAAGAACACAGTCATCCAGGGCCTCGAGAACGTGGATGCGATGGAAGGAGGAGAAGCTCTCTTTGAGTGTTATCTTTCCAAACCAGAAATCTACAATTATAACTGGCTGATCGATGATGTGCCGGCAAAAACATCTGAAAATGTAGAGCTGGTTTATTTTGAAAATGGGCTTCGCCATCTTCTGCTTCTGAAGAACCTCAAAGTCCAAGACAGCTGCAGGGTGACCTTCCAAGCGAGCGATGTGGTCACGTCTGCCTTCTTGACCGTAAAAGGTGACAATCAAATATCTTGCTCCACAAGACAATCAGATTCAGGTAGTCCTCAACTTACGGCTACAACTAGGCCCAAAATTTAAGTTGCTAAACAAGATAGTTCTACCACCTGTGTTGCCACAGTTGTTTAGGGAACCGCTGCAGTTGTTAAATTAATAACACTGTTAAGTGAATCTGGTTTCCCCCATTGAGTTTGCTTGTCAGAAGGTCACAAAAATGGATCACGGCAGAGGTGGGTGTTCAGCAGGTTCTGACCAGTTCTGGAGAACTGGTAGCAGAAATTTTGAGTAGTTCAGAGAACCGGCAAATGCCACCTATGACTGGCCCCGCCCCCATCTATTCTCTGCCTCCCATTGAGTCCCAGCTGATCAGCTGGGTCGACTTTGGTTGCCCTGCACAGGAGAACGGAGCTGGAAAGCAGGTTAACGGGGTGGGGAGAGAATGGGGATTTTACAGTATATCCTCCTGCCACGGCCACCAACCACACCCACCAAGCCATGCCACGCCTACAGAACGGTAGTAAAAAAAATTGAATCCCACCACTGGATCATGGGATCTTGGAACACTCCGAGACACTGCAACCATCATAAATATGAATCAGTTGCCAAACATCTGAATTTGATCACATGACCATAGGGATGTTGCAATGGTTGTAAGTGTGAATAATGTCGTAATTCCCTATACATACATAGCAGCTGAGATACTTGACCAGTTAGCAATACAGCCAGGAAACAGGATCCATTTTCATGTACAGGTAGTCTTCAACTTACGACCATAATGGAGCCCAAAATTTATGTTGCTAGGTGAGATATTTACCCCATTTTACGACCTTTCTTGCCACAGCTATTAAGTGAATCAGCACAGTTGTTACATTAGTAATAGAGTTGTTAAGTGAATCTGGCTTCCTCCTTGACTTTGCTTGTCAGAAGGCCGCAAAAACGGATCACGTGATCTTGGAACACTATGTCTGTCTTAAATATGAGTTAGTGGCCAAGCATCTGAATTTGATCATATGATCATGGGGATGCTGCAATGGTCATAAATTTGAAAAATGAACATTTCCCTGTTGTAACTTTGAATGGTCACCAAATGAACTACTGCAGGTCGAGGACCACCTGTATTTCTGGTTGTTGTTTTTTAAATTTCCCTCCCAAATTTCCCAACCTCTCAATTTTTTCCTTGCTTGAAAGGACTGATGGTGTCATTTCTGATCATTTCAGGATGGAGACTGGAATTCTTGCAGCCACTGACGGATGTCACCATCTGTGCTGGGGAACAAGCTGTCTTCACCTGTGTGTTAAGTGAAGCAGTACCCATCCATGAGGTTGCCTGGTATATTAATGACATAGACATCCAACCAGACGAAAATTGGAGAATTGAAGTAGAAGAAAATAGCTACAAACTCATCCTAAAGAAAGCTCAGCTTCTCCACTCTGGAGAGATAACTTTTGCTGCCAGAGATGCTATTGTGTCTGCAAAATTGACTGTCACAGGTAAGTTGAATCAGATAAGTGTTTTCTTGCAACTTGCCTACAGGAGAAGATTGATGCAAAATGATCACATTGAACACCGGGCCCTATCTAACAAAATTAAATTCAAGGTAGATAAAAGTAAGGCTCTACAATTAGGTAAGAAAAACCAACTGTACAGGCATATAGGTGAAACTTGGTTTAATGTCAGTAACTGAGAGAGGGACCTTGGAGTTGTAGTGGACAATCACTTAAACATGAAACCAACAATGTACTTCAGCAGCCAAAAAAGCCAATGAAATCCTAGGTTGCATTAATAGAGGGATGCAGTCAAGATCACATGAAGTTCTAGTACCACTTTACAACGCCTTATTCAGACCACACTTGGAATATTCCAAGTGGTTTTGGTCACCATAATAAAAAAAGGTTTTGAGACTCTGGAAAGAGTGTAGAGAACAGCAACAAAGATGATTAGGGGACTAGAGGTTAAAACTTACAAAGAATGGTTGCGGGAATTGGGTATGTCTTGTTTAATGAAAAGAAGAGCTGGGAGGACATGATAGCTATCTTCCAATATTTGAGGTGCTGCCATAGAGAAGAGGGGATCAACCTGTTTTTCAAAGCAGGAGTAGGCAAGACAAGAAACAACGGATGAAAAGTAATCAAGGAGAGAAGCAACCTAGAACTAAGGATAAATTTCTTTACAGTGAGATCAATTAATCAATCAGAAGTCAGAGGTTGTCCTGTCAGAACTTGTGGATGCTCCATCACCGAAGGCTTTCAAAAAGTGACTGGACAACCATTTGCCTAAAATAATATAGGGTCTCTTGCTCAAGCAGGGAGTTGGACTAGAAAACCTCCAAGGCCCCTTCCAACTCTATTATTCTATGTACTATGTTCTATATGCTAAGTTTTTAATTGAGGATTAATGCAAAATGATAGCAATAGCAATAGCACTTAGACTTACATACCGCTTCATAGTGCTTTACAGTCCTCTCTAAGCGGTTGACAGAGTCAACATTTTGCCCCCAACAATCTGGGTCCTCATTTTACCCACCTCGGAAGGAGGGAAGGCTGAGTCAACCTTGAGCCTGGTGGGATTTGAACTATCAAATTGCAGGCATCTGGCAGTCAGCAGAAGTAGCCAGCAGTACTGCACTCATGTGCCACCGAGGTTCAAAATGATCCCTTCTGGAGGAAGAAATGGATATTGAAGAAGGTTGCATGAAAAGCAAAATTGTTCACCATAACAAAGAATGAACAGTTAATGAGTATTGAGCTGTATCCAACCAGAGTCAGTGGTCAAAAAAGTAAGATCCTGCACCTAAGCAAGAAAAATCAGATGCACGTGTACAGAATATGTGATATCTGGCTCAATAATAACAACTGTGAGAGTCCTAGTGGATCACCACTTAATTATGAGCCAACAGTGTGCTGCAGTAACCACAAAAAGCTAATGCAGCCCTAGGGACAGCATCAACATCAGAAGAAATGATAGTATCACTTTATACTGCACTGCTGAGGCCACACTTGGAGCAGTTCATTTAACAACCATTCAAAGTTACAATGGTTCTGAAAAAGTGACATGACAGTTTTTCACATTTATGGCACGGCGGAGCTGAGCTGGGGTGACGGCTCGCATGCCTAGAGAGAGGGCTCTGCATGCCACCTCTGGCATGCGTGCCATAGGTTCGCCATCACGGATCTAGTCTAGAGAAAAGGACTAGGAGTACATGATAGCAGTTTTCCAATATTTGAGGGGCTGGCACAAAGAAGAAGAGGGGGTCAACTTATTCTCCAAAGCCCCTGAAAGCAGGACAAGAAGTAACGGATGGAAACTCATCAAGGAGAGAAGGAACTAAGGAGGAATTTCCTTATTGTGAGAATGATTAATCAATGCACCAACTTGTCTTTCAGAGTTGTGGGTGCTTCATCACTGGAGGCTTAACAGATAACAGATAATCAGAGTTGGAAGGGACCTTGTAGGTCATCTAGTCCAACCCCCCGCCCAAGCAGGAGACCCTACACCATTTCTGACAGAGGGCAGTCCAGTCTCTTCTTGAAAGCTTCCAGTGATGGCGCTCCCACAACTTCCGAAGGCAACTTCTGTTCCCTGGGTTGATTGTTCTCCCTGTCAGAAAGTTTCTCCTTATTTCCAGGTTGAATCTCTCCTAGTTCAGTTAACATCCATTATTCCTTGTCTGGCCTACAGGCCCTTTAGAAAATAGCTTGACCCCTTCCTGCTCTCTGTGGCAGCTCCTCAAATATTGGAAGATTGTTCTCCTTCCTCCCCTGGTCCTTCTCTTCACGAGACTAGCCAAGCCCAGTTCCTGTAACCGTTCTTCATATGTTTTAGTCTCCAATCCCCTCATCAGCCTGGTTGCTCTTCTCTGTATTTTTTCTAGAGTCTCAACATCTTTTTTATAGTGTGGGGACCAAAACTGGATGCAGTCCTCTAGGTGTGGTCTTACTAAGGCTTTATAGAGTGGTATTAGTACTTCCCTTGATCTCAATTGTATCCCTCTGTTAATACAATTTAGGATTGCATTGGCTTTTTTGATGGCTGCTGCACACTGCTGGCTCCTATTTAGCTGGTTGTCCACTAAGACTCCAAGATCCCTCTCACAGTTCCTGCTGTTGAGCCTGGTTTCACCCAGTCTATATGTGTATTTTCGGTTTTTCTTGCCTAAGTGTAGGACTTTACTTTTCTCTGTATTGAATTTCATTTTGTTAGATACGGCCCAGTATTTTAGTTTGTCAAGATCCATCTGGATCTTGAGCCTATCTTCTTGGGTGTTAGCTATTCCTGTCAGCTTAGTGTCACCTGCAAATTTGGTAAATTCCCCTTCTATTCCTTCATCTAAGTCGTTAATGAAGATATTGAAGAGTCTTGGGCCTAAGATGGAACCTTTAGAAGAAAAGGTTGGAAAACCATTTGACTGGGTGGAATCAGGACTCCTGCCTTAGGCAGGGGATTGGACTAGAAGACCTACAAGGTCCCTTCCAGTTCTATGATTCTTGTGAGGAGGCTGCTTCTTAAGAACCTCTCGGGACAAGGAGAGGACAGGAGATTACGCCCATCAATGTGAACAGCTGTCTCTCATGGAGGAGATCACAAGACAGAGATCCCTGGTAGGTTTTGAGCACTAGGAAAAGATAGGAGTAGCAATTTTGCTTGCAATTAAGCTTTGCACTAGATTTGCAAACTTCATTTTTAAATTATGCTTGGAAATTGCTTGTTAAGAACTTTAGGGACGTTTCAATTGGCAAGTCTGAAAATGCGGGCTGAGGTCTCGTTCAATCCTTAATGAAAAATCATGTTAATCCTAAACTTAAGATTTTTTTAAAAAAAATATTAAATAAACAGCAAACAGCTAAGTGACACTTTTTTTTCTTAGAAAGTTATAAAAAGATTAAGAAACCAAACACATTTAGAATAAGTTTTTGGAATTAATTATAAAGAATCCTTCCAAAGGGAAATACAGTAGATTTGTTTGGACTATTGCAAGACAAAATGAAGAAAAATAATTTTAAATATTGGACATCAGGGGAGCTAATACCCTTTATTATTTATTTATTTATTTAATTAATTAATTTTATCTATCTATCACATTTCTAAACTGCTCATCTTTACAACTAATTAACTGGAACATATAAAATTATGCAAACAAAATTTAACATTGAAAATATTGAAGGGCACTTTTGAAATATGAAATTATAAGTTAGTAACAACAATGTCAGTAGTGAGGTTTGCTTCTATGAATAAACAGTGTCCAAAATGTTTCAGAAACAGTGGCAGAAGAAGAATATTTTTTGATAAGACAAAAATGACAGGTGATAATGACAGTTATGAGAATGACATGGAAAGGATGCCACACTTGATGTCTTAAACCAGTTGATGTTTTAAAAATCAAAGGGGAAATACTGTACAAATAATTCACCAAGAGAGTGACTTGGATAATCTTTTATATTGGATAAAAGAAGCTTGTTAAAGGTTTGAATAATCTTGTGAGAAAGGACAAAGAAGAAGAACAGAAGAACAGAGCTGGAAAGGTCCTTGAAGGTCTTCTAGTCCAGGGGTCGCCAATCTTTTGGACCTCAGGCAGGGGTGGGATTCAAATTTTTTAACAAACAGTTCTGTGGGCGTGGTTTAGTTGGTGGGTGTGGCTTGGTGGTCATGTGACTGGGTGGGCATGGCCAACTTGACGTCACTCATGTCAAGGGGCGCTTCTCCTCACCTGGCCTCTCATGACAGTGGAGATACTGCAACCGTCATAAGTGTGTAAAATGGCCATAAGTCACTTTTTTCAGTGCCGTTGTTACTTTGAATGGTCACTAAATGAACTATTGTAAATCAAGGATTACCTGTACAAAAATACAAAAAGCTTCTTTCCTTGCAAAAAACTGCCCTAAATACCAATCATTAGATTTAAAATACCTGCAAGCCGGAGTTACAAGTCAGGCAGGGTGCCAGCGCACCTTGAGGAATTAAAATAGTTAAAATGCAGTGATAACTATCAGCAGCCAACCCTTGTTCATAAAGTGAAACCCTTTAGCAGAGAGGTCATTTAAGCTCTCCAGAAAGAGCACACCCTGGAAAAGCAATCCTTAGATCCATTTGCACCATTTAAAGATACCAGCTGGTCTCACTCACCTCACAAGATATCTTAAGGAAATCGTCCAGATTTAAGGAAAGGTCACATGCTCCCCAGAAAGACAGTAAAAAAATCAGTACCAAGCTTGCATCCTGCCTCTTGGAAGTATACTCCAAAAGGATAGTGCCAGATACCACTAAAGCAGTGAAGGAAGACCCCCTCCCCAGATAGAAAAAGAAATCATGAGGCAGGAAAAAATTCAAACACAATACAAATAATTAAATCACAACAGTAGCTGTTGCTTGTTAAACCAATTATCAGAACAAATAGACAAAGGAACTAGTCAGATTTCTCAACCCAGTTTCTTTTCAAACAAAGCTGAATAGGGAATATTATCCCATCAATAAACACAGGATTAAACGTCACCAAGGACAGAATTAAACTTCACCAAAAACCAGAAAGGGTATATAAACTCATGTTTGAATGTCAATCTTTCTAGCTAGCCAAGAAGCCTTGCTGAATGTCACTAATCTTGGTTCCTTGTCATTAAAAAGCTTCTTTCTGCAGCTTTGCTTCGTTATTCAATTATTTCTTCAAAGTGCTGATCATTGCATGCCGGGAGTATTTCCTCCCAACATCAGTATAAAAAGCTTAAAACAACCCTTCCCCTTTAAGAAAGTATCAAGAAAAAAAAAACTCCTTCTGAGAAAGTAAGTCTAGGCATACTGCCAAGAACATAATAAGGGGGAAAAAAAACAAAAGTAGATTTCTTCTAACTACCGGTTCTCGAACTGCTTAGAAAGTTAACAAGGGGTTCTATAGAACCGGTAGAATCCCACACCTGACCTCAGGGACCACCAAACTCATAATAAGAAAGAAGTGGAAAGAAGCAGCTCGGTGGCCAGGCCAGGCGCATGGGGCAAGTGGGGCAAGTTCCCCCTCCCCGTCCTTTCCCCCCTCCCCTCACTATCTTGTGTTGTTCACAATGCAAGTGACGCAAGCCTTGTGTTCCCGCGGGCCATGTGGGCAATGCAGCCTGGATTAATTGCTTTGAGTGCTTTGGGGATGACATTTCTCTGCGGACCACCAAAATTTTCTCACATACCACCAGTGATCCCTGGCCCACTGGTTGGCGACCACTGTTCTAGTCCAAGCCCACTGCTCAAATAGAAGGAAAATTTAAAAAATTTTTAAAAATCAGATTCTACAACAATACTTGAATGGACTAAAGATTAAGTCTTTCAAAAGTAAAAGGAAAGCATATAGAATTGATTTATTTCACCAAAGTTAAAATAAAATCTGTTGTTATTTCTGGTAACCCTTAATGGATTTTCTGCTGACTGAAAACTCAAAAAATATTGCTTCATGGATTTGTCTATAGATTAAAAAATGGGATATGGAATGAAGAAATCATTGGTTGTAAACCAAGAGAGAGTAAAGAGTTTCTTGTTTAAGTATTGTGATGGTTAAAATACATTTTCAATCTCCACTATACTTTTACTTTCTATGTTTTCTAGTTTCTATTATTTGTATCTTGTCCTTTGCATTTCTCTCTTTCTTTTTATACTTTTTTCTTTTAGTTTGCATTAATTTTACTATTGTAAATGTGTGTGTGTGTGTGTGTGTGTAAAACCTTCTTACACTTTCCTTGTATGAGATATGAACCAGTTGCCAACCGTCTGAATTTTGATCACATAACTGTAAGGATATTGCAGTGGTCATAAGTGTAAAAAAACAGCCATACGACACTTTTTTCAGTGCTGTTGTAACTTTGAATGGTCACTAAACAAATAGTTACAGGTTGAGGACTGTAAACTGGCTTTCATGTGTTGAACTTTAGAACCTGTTGAAGTCACTCAGCCTTTGGTTGACCAGTCTGCTACGCAAGGAGAGAAGGCCAAGTTGCAGTGTGAATTTTCCAGTGAGACCCAAGAGGTGATTTGGGTCAAAGGGAAAGAACCGATCCAGCCTGGTGGACGATATGAAATCATCTCCGAAGGCAAAAAACAGACACTCATCATACACGATTTTAAATTTGAAGATCAAGGATCCTACACCTGTATCACCTCGCCTGAAATAAAAACTTCTGCCAATCTTTTGATTGATGGTAAGTTACAATTCCTACATGTAATTCTCAAAAACATGTTATATAATTGTATTGGGGTCATTACCCAGCAGAGACAAACAACAACTAGGATTAGAACTTCCGTTGCTAAGCAAGGAGTTTATTAAGTGAGTCTCATCCAATTTTAGGATCTTTTTGGCAGGGTTGTTATGCAAATCACTGCTGTTGTTAAGTGAATTGCAATTCATTAAGTGAAACTGGTATCCCCATCGGCTTTGCTTGTCCAAAGCTGGCTGGGAAGGTCACAAATGGGGATCACGTAACCCCAGGAGGCTGCAACAGTCCTAAATACACACTGGTTGCTCAGAGCCAGAATATTGAGTTCCTAATTATGGGAGAGCTGCCATGGTTGTAAGTGCGAGGACCAGTTGCAAGTCACTTTTTTTCATTGCTGTTGTAACTTCAAATGGTCATTACATGAATGGTTGTAAGTGAATGACGACCTTTACAGAAAAAAGTGACTTATGATTGATTCTCACACTTACAACAGTCACAGCATCCCCATGTTTATGTGATCAACATTCAGGCACTTGAAAACCGGTATGTTTTACAAGTCTCAGCATCCTGATCTCCTTTTACGACCTTCCCAGCCATCTTCTGACAAGCAAAGTCAATGGGCGAAGCCAGATTCACTTAATAAACATGTGATTCACTTAACAGCTTCAGTGATTATGAGAGAAGAAGCATTGCAAAACGTGTTGCAAAATGAGGTGTGACACACTTAACTGCCTTGCTTAACAATGGAAATTTGGCTCAGTTGTGGTCGTAAATCAAGGACTATCTGCACTATATTAATCTAGACTGATTGATTGATTATTGATTAATTGATTCTAAAATCTGTTGAATGGGGATTTGCAAAATATAGATTATTTTATAGGTAATCCTCTTTTTGATGTCTAGCAGTTGCCATATCCTGACTTCCTAATAGTAATCTCACCATTTCATTTCTCAGTTTCTTCTGTGTCAATGTTGAAAGAAGTTGTTGAGGAAGCACCAATCTCTAAAGAGCCAACAAAGGTAGCAGATGAAGAGGTTCAACCTAGCTTGCCACCCGAAGCTGCTCAGGAAGGGGACCTCCACCTTCTGTGGGAAGCTCTGGCCAAGAAGCGGAGGATGAGTCGCGAGCCGACCTTGGACTCAATCAGTGAACTGCCCGAAGAAGACGACAAACTTCAGAAGAGGAAGAAGGAGGAACTGGAGATAACCGCATACTACTCCGAGGAATACTCTACTTGCGATGAGTCCGCAAAAGCTGGAGAAGCAGATTTTTCCATCACAAGTTCAGATGACGAATCTAGAGCTGGGACACCTTCCTTAATCACCTACCTCAAGAAGGCTGGGTCATCTACAATGAGCATCAGTCACAAAGTCATAGAGAAAATCCCTCAAGATCAGCAGAAGGTTGGTGAGGAACCATCTCCTCCTGCAGAGTCAACTGAAATGGAGATCACTGAAGGGGACTTGGAGGACCCTTCCATGTCTCAAGCTGCCGTCAAAATCCAAGCAGCCTTCAAAGGTTACAAAGTGAGAAAGGAAATCAAACAGCAGGAACGTCCAGTCTTTGCGGACACCTTCAAGGACTTTGTTGGCAAGATAGGAGACACTCTCCATCTGGATTGTGTGGCCCACAGCAAGACAGACATGACGGTCAGTTGGCTGAAAGATGGTAATGAAATTAAGGATGGGCGGCATTATCATATAGACAATTACAATGATGGGACCTGTTCCTTGATTATCGCTGGTGTGGAAATGAATGACAAGGGGAAGTACACTTGTGAAGCCTCCAATAAATTTGGCAAGGTCTCCCACAGTGCCAAGGTGACCATCCAACCTCAAGCACCTTCTCGAAAACCGAAAACTGCCAACAAGCTTCCCGACAGCGAATCAGAGAGCTCATCTGGCAGCGAATTGGACGATGCTTTCCGTAAAGCCGGTCGGAGGCTCCACAAGCTGTTCAAGTCCAAAATCTCCACTGAGATCTCCGATGTCGACGAGGAACTGTTTGTCAGTGCGGACGAGGGAGAAATTGAGGCAGTGGATCGTCAGACCTATCGGGAAGACGAACGCTACATCTACATCAAGTTTGAAGTTCACACGGAGGCCAAAACAGCTGCGGGTCGATTTCAGGAGATGTTTGCCGCTATGGGTATTCCTGTTGAGATTGACATTTTGGACCAGGGTCCTAAAAAGATAGAGTTGCGTATTGGGAAAGCCACTTCACCTCCTGCTGGACAGTTGCGGACTTTGGTTCAACGGCCACCACCTACTTTGCTGACCTCTGATACTGGTAAGTACGCAAGGTTTTATAGGAGGAGGAGTGTCATAACCTGGGGGCTGTTTCAAAAGAGGCATCAGTCTAGAATCCCTACATAGTCACAAGTGAACGAAGTCCAATTTCCCTTTAATTCTATTGACCCTTATCTAACTCCTAGCAGGTACTAACGGTTAGTTGAGAAGATTCCTGTGCATAGGCACGTGCAGCAATAAATCAATTTAAGGTGAAGTGTTAGTCCTGCTTTATACTGCACTGATGAGACCGTATTTGGAATACTTTGTCCAATTCTGGTCATCACAGGACAAAAAAGGTGATGAGACTATAGAAAGAGTGCAGAGAAGAACAACAAAGATAGGAGTTCTGGAGGCTAATATGAGGGAACTAGGTATGTTAAGTCTAATGAAGAGAAGGACGAAGAATGATAGCAATCTTCCAATACTTGAGGGAATGTCACAGAGAAAAGGGGATCAACCTATTTTCCAAAGCAGATGAAGGCAGGACATTAGGAGTAATGGGGGGAAACTTATTAAGGAGAGAACCAACCTAAATTATGGAGAAATTTCCTAGCAATGAGAGGAATCCATCAGCACAATGGCTTGTCTTCAGAAGTTGTAGGTGCTTTATTACTCTACCACAGAAGAGACAGGACAGAAGCTGTATAAGGGACTCCTTCTTAAGGGCTGGACTAAAAGTTAAAGCAGAAGGTGAAGAAGCAGTAGAAAGACAAGAAGGGGGAAAATGAGGAGGAGGAAGATTAACTTGGTTCTCTCTGAGCTTGGTTGTTTTATTATAGACATTTCATGACCCAACTAAGTGACATCATCAATACGAGAAGGGAATGAGGTTTGCAGAGAGGAGGAGGAGGAAAAAGACATATAGATTTGCTCTTATTGTTCTTTGTTCATTCTAGCTCCAGTCTTCATCACTGAACTTCAAAATCAAGAGGTGCAGGATGGTTACCCGGTCAGTTTTGATTGCGTGGTGATTGGCAAGCCAATGCCGACTGTCCGGTGGTTTAAAGATGGCCATGTTCTTGAAGAAGATGACCATTACATGATCAATGAGGACCAGGAAGGATGTAATCAACTGATCATCACAGCGGTGGTCCCTCTTGACATGGGGGTCTACCGCTGCGTGGCTGAAAACAGCATGGGGGTGTCTTCAACAAAAGCCGAGCTACGAGTGGACCGTGAGTTTAAAGCTGGGATGCGGGAAACTGTTGTTCAAAAGCTGAGCATAACTGAGCATAATTCTTCCTTTAATCTTCCTTCTTCCCCCCC